GGATACAATGCAGGTAGAGGTCTCAGCAGCCCCGACGTCTGTGGCCATGGCCAGCAGCATCTCCGTGGTGCTGGGAGGTGTGAGGGGGCTGTGGGTTTAGGAAGGTAGAGGAAGGCAGCCCGGGCTGTCCGCTGGGGCAGCAGCTACAGGAAGGACTCTGCTGGGACTGAACACAGGAGGAGTTTGGGAGGCAGGTGGGGCTGGAGAAGCAGGGCAGGGCTACAGGGTAGAGGGGTGGTCTCAGCTGCCCTGAGGCATAGTAGTAGGCATCCTTTTAACCACGAGGACGGTGATCACAGTGGGTGCTGTATCTTGAGTGCCTAATATACACTAGGTATAGTTTTTCCAGTGCTCACAACTCCAAATGGTTGGAGTTAATTTTCCTCATTTTCCAGATGGGGCCACAGGCTCAGAGGTTACGCACATGGCCTTTCTGGCAGGGTCAGCCTCCCGCAGCTGTCAGGTTGTCCTGAGGGCTCGGGGTAGGGGGAGCGGGCAGGGTCGTGGGCTCCCGCTGCCCTCCGGGATGCCCTCGAGTTCTGTGGGCGCTGGCGGACTGATCTGGGCGCTAAATAAGCCCCCACTTAACGTCAGTTGGAAATCGTGGCTTTGCCGTCGGTGCCAGTTCTTAATGTCACTTATCCCAAGCGGGCTTTCCATTTTCAGCCGCAACAGCCTTCTAATTTGGGCTCAGCCACTCCGGTTTTGTGACAGGAACAATGGCAGTGGCAGATGGGGAACAACAACTCCATTTTCCTTTAACGTTCCCAATCGCAGGCAGGGAAGGCACCATCTGGAAGGAGAAGGTCAGATCATTAAAAAAATATATAGTAATAAATTGCCAGGGCTTGATGGGCTGTGGGGGGGGGGCGGGGGAGAAGGAGGGGTGAGCTCGGCGCTGCGGTGATGGGGGCGGGGCCGGGGTTACGTCCACCTGCTGAGCCGCAGTCGAGGAAGCGGGGCTGGACTGCTCTCTGAGCTCCTGTCTGGTGGAGGCGAGGGCCTGCGTGATGGTGACCGCCTTGGGAGCAGGGTCAGGCTCTTCAGTCTCACTTGTCTTTATTCACTGTCCAGAGCTTGTCCGAGAGGCAGTGCGGCGGTCGCGATGTGAGCTTCTGCCCAGGAGAGGGTGTGCCCCGCATGGGCACATGGTCAGGCTGTACAAGGTGCCCCCCGGGTGTTAGTTCCTTGGCTCCTGGGCCCTGCCTTTGACTCCCCTGGCCTCCATTTCTCCAGTGTAGACGGGGATGGAACATTGACCTCCCCTAGTGGCTGTGGAGATGAAATGGGTCGACGTGTGGGCAGGCTTTGTAAGCTGTGAAGTGCGGTGCACACAGTGATTCTGTTATGGTGACGCCATCCTGTGCGTAGCTGTCCCTTCCTTGATGGCCTCTCCTCTGTGATGGCAGGAACCAGGTTTCACGTGACTGTCTCCACGGCCCAGTGGGGTGGAGGGCCCGACACTGGGAACACCTCTGCACCTGTTTAGGGAGTGAGCTCACCGCCCTGCGAACCCGCTGCTTGAGGGAGTGGGCGTGTGAGCCCCAGAGGGGCCGGTGCTGGGGCCTCTGCCGGTGCTGGTTGTTCACCTAATAATAATCCGTGACATTTGCGAATGTCTTCGACTTCTCAAAGAGTGTCCGCACCCGCCACTTCATTGCAGTTCCCCGCACCGTGACCGACATGCAGATGCCACCTTCCTCTGGTGGCAACAGCATTTTTAAAGCCACTTTATTCAGGTGTGATTGACATACAAAAAGCTGTACATGTTTTGTGCATGCAACCTGATGCGTTTGGAGGTGAGCCTGTGAACCCCGTCACCGTCTATGTCATAAACAAACCATCCCCTGGAAAGTCCCCTCCTGCCCTTTTACTTACTGTTGTTATTTTTTTGGTGTGATAAGAATACTTAACCTAAGGTCTACCCTCTTAGTGAACCTTTAAACACACAATACAGAATTGTTACCTATAGGGACAGACGGTCTCTAGGCTTTACTTCTATGTAAAGTAATTTGGTCTCGTATGACCGAAGCTTTGTACCCTTCAGTTGATTCCTCCTCGTTCCCCCTCCCCAGTTGATGGCATTTCTCCAGTGCTCGCTCTGTGCTGGGCAGGGTGGGGGTGTTGAGGGGCGGTGGGGGGAATTGGGGGGGAAGTGGGGGTGTGTGACTGCTCTTGTGGCCATCATTCTGATTTGATACATCCGGAAAATGGGGAAGAGACTTTGTTCATGCCACACAGGGGTGTTGATGGTCTGCTGTGTGTCCAGCACTGTGCCGAGGGTGGGATGGTGTAGGGGATGATATGGAAGGTTTCAGTCTTGATGGAATGTGGGTATAGTAGGGGAGCCTATGGGCACACATGCACATGAAACACTCCTATGGGCACATGCATGCACCACACATCCACACGCATGCACGCGTGCACACACACACACACACACACAGAGGGAAAAAGAGGCAAGCCAATAAAAGAAGCAGAAATTGTGGTAAGGGCCATTACACACACCAACTGGCTGAGACAGAAAGTGATGGAAGTGGGGAGGGGTGGGGTGATGGACAGTCAAGGCCATTCTGAGAAGGTGGAGGCGAGGGGCGGAGCCAGCCCTGGAGAGAGCTGGGGCAGCATTCCAGGTGGAGGGAGCTTCCCCGGCTCGCCCCATTTAAGTTGCTGAGGAAAGCCTAGCACAGTGGAGCCTGTGACCGGGGGATGAGGCTGGGAGGGAGGGTGGGTCCTTGCAGCTCTTCTGGAAGAGGTTGGATTTTATTCCGAGTGGACAGGGACTCGATTGCCAGTTATAAGCAGGGGAAGAGCAAGGTCCGTGGAAGTTTTGCAGAATGGCTCTGGTTGCTATGCGGAGGACAGACTGCAGAGGGCAGGAGTTAGCACGGAAAGACGGGTTGGGGGGGTCCCACGTGGCTGCTGGGTACCGTCAGACTGAAGTGACACTTCTGCTTTGCCACTGAGTAGCCGTGTGCGGGGGAGGGCTGCCGTCGGACCCTTTAGCTGATGACCTTTCCTCCCATCTCCAAAGCTCTAGGCACCCCTCATCTTGATGTCAGTACGTTAAGCGGCCCCTCTCGCCTGGGCTGCCCTGTCCAGTGTGTCTCGCTTTCCGGGGCAGAGCTACCTCTTCATTGTCCAGCGTCACCACGTCCAGGGTTGCTCATGCCCAGCGACGTCAGTGGGGGTCTGGTTGCTGGAAGATTGCCTGGTTTAGTGTGAAGAACCTGGACTTTGAGTCAGACAGACCTAAGTCCCTATGTGGGCTCTGCCTCCTAGCCGTGCACGTGACCTAGTCAACCTACTTAATCCCCTGTTGTCAGTCTCATCGCCTATAAGGTGAAAATCGTTATTCTGACTGTGCTTGGTTACTGTGAAAACCAAGGCAGGGAACACGTCTAAAGCACTCAGTATGCTGACGCGTGGACACGTGGTAGGCGTGTCTGAGCCACGTGCCGCCCTGCTGTCGCTGGGTCCCTGGAGGCAGCCATCACATGGAGTACAAAGAAGATGGGCTCTTAGCAGGGAGGAGTCCCCGGGAGACAGTGGTTTACTCGCTCGCTTACTCTCGCATTCATTCCTTCAGCCCATGTTGGCTGAACACTTGAACACTTATTATGTGCAGGCCACATGCTGGGTGCCAGGGAGACAGTGGTGAGCAAGACAGCCCAGATCCCTGCTGCCTTGAACTCGCATTCTAGAGACATATGGAGACAGACCATAAACGAGGAAACGGAAAAGATGATTTTTGATTGTGGTGAAGGCTGTGTGGGAAGTAAGACAAGTTGCTTAGTGTGGTTCCTGAGAGAAAGGGGCCATCATCGCCAGGGTGGTCAGGGAAGACTTCTTGGATGTGGTGGCATGTGAGGGAGCCCAGACCCATGTGAAGGAGATGCCTCAGAGAAGGTGGTTTAGCAGATGCTCTTGAGCACAGTGGTCTCCAAATGAGAGTCAGGGGTCCAGGCTTGGGCCGAGTATTTGCACTTCTAACAGGTCCCCAGAGGCTTCGATGCCACCTGGACTGGGGCACCCAGAGGCAGGTGACCTCCTAGGTTTTGGGGTAGGTCTCAAAGGAAGCAGGAGAGAGTCTTCCTCTGGACCATCGTTATCACAGTCAGGTATGAAAGCAGCATGGTTGTGTTGTCACAGTCCAAAAGCATCTTGTCTGTCTGCTTGTTTTCGGCCACCTCCCACCTCTAGAAGGTAGTGGGGTCAAGGCAGCAGGGGCCCAGACTGATTGTGTTCAGTGTCTTGATGCTTTTTGAAGCCCTTTCCCGTGTGTTATTTCACGGGATCCTTGCAGCCACTGCAGGACGAAGGCATTTTCATCGTCCCTGTTTCACAGGTGAAGCAATTGAGGCTCAGAGAGTGGGGGGTGGGATTTGCACAAGGTTGCTCAGGGAGATGGTGAGCAAGCTGGGACTCAAACCTTAGGTTTCCCGACTCCCAGCCTGGGATCCACAGTGGGACCACGGAGCGGGGCCCGATTTCATCCCACTGGGCAGGCGTACGGCTGGGGGAGCTGTTGGCTGGGTCAGTCTGCATGCGGGCCAGGCCTCGGGGCCTGCGGTGGCTCCCTGGGCTGGCAGGGCTCCTCGGACTCTGACTGGCTTCCGCCATCTCCTTCCTCTCGCCACAGGAGAGGAGAACCAGCCTGGCTGGCTGTGTCCAGACGAGGACAAGAAGAGCAAAGCCCCGTTCTGGTGCCCGATCCTGGCCTGCTGCATCCCCGCCTTCTCCTCCCGGGGCCTTAGCCTGCAGGTGAGTGGAGTGCATCTTGCCGAGCCCACCACGAAGGTGGCTCTGGGGACAACCGGAGTTTCCGGGTTGTGCCCACAGCAGGAAAGACCTATGTTCCAGCTGTCGCTGCTCAGCTTCTTACTGGTGGAGTCGGTCAAGCCTTTTTGTGGCTCTAGGCGTCAGCTCTCCCACCAAAACAACGGGGTAGGTGCCCTCTGTGGATCAAGTGAATGGAAAATTCCGCCCTTTTAAGCTAACAAATAGCAATGATCTCATCAGTTGATGGCATGACTCTCAGCTCAGAAACGCCAGACTTTGTGGGTTGGACCCTTGATGATGCTGCCGGGGAAGGGGTGGGGTGGGCAGCCGGCTTTGGCTCCACAGCCGTCATGCCTCCCATTCGTCAAGCTCCCCAGTGCTTTGCTATCACTCTCTGGTTTTAATATTTATAAGAATCCCATGAATAGATATTTCCAGATCTATTTCACAGTTAAGGAAGCTAAGGCTCAGACAGGTGACATGATTTTCTAAAAAACAACACAGCTGGTAAGGAATGAGCGCAGGAATTGGAAACTCGCTTTGACCCCAGCACCTCTGGTGGTAACTACAGGGATGCTCAGCTCCAATGTCATTTGTCCCTGATGTCCTGGCTGAGCTCACTCCTCCATCAGGAAGAGTTACAGCCCGTCCTTCTCCCAAGAAGATGAGGTCATCTGAGCTTTGGGGAGGGGAGAGCAAGCTTGGGACCTAGGCCCAGATTGGTCCCCAAGAGAAACTGGGCTGTCGGCTGGGGCTCTAAACAGCTGAAAGAACATACCCTTGAGACACCAGTTCATTCAGTCGTGCATCCGTTCTGCATATAACTTTTGAGCACCTACTCTGTGCCAGGCCCTGCGCTAGACACTGGGAATATGATGGGGACCAAAACGTACAAGGTCCCTACTCTCATGTAGCTTTCAGTCTAGAGGAGGAAGACCAGTCATACCCGCCCCTGCCACTGGCAAACAAAAGGAAGTGGAAAAGAGTGATGAGTGTTACAAAGAGAATCAATCAGATATAATGGATACAGAGATGGGGCCACGTAGTAAGGGGGTCAGAGAGGGCCTCTAGGAGGAGGCAGCATTTAAATGGAGACTTGAATGGCGAGGAGGATCCAAGCCCGTGAGGGCCCAGGGAGAGGATATTCTAAATAGACAAGCCAACGCAGATGCCCATGATGGGTGTGGGCGGGGCAGCCGATGCGAGTGGCTCAGTGAGCCCGGGGCGGGGCGGGGAGCCATCTGCCTCCTCGTGCTGGGGGACCTGGGCCTGGGAATCTCCTCATTTGAAGCTCTTGGGCCTGGGGACTGGTTGGCTGGAAGCCAACCCCAGCCCCGTTCTGGTCCCCCACCCGCCATCTCCTGAGGACCCCCCCCCCCCGCTGTGTGCACCAAGGGGACTGTAAGTGACTCTCCCAGGGCAGTGGGCCTGTGGAGCTCCTGAGGGACATGCCAGCACCCACACGTCCCCACTTGCTGGGCCCCAAGACACCGTTTCTGCTCTGCCGGCGCCGGCCTCCCACCCCGCACCAGCAGATGTGCCCCATCAGCTCTGTGCCAGCAGCAGAGGAATTAGGGCCTCGGAGTGCCAGGGCCAGGTCGTTACTGCAGAACAGATGTGAGAGTGTCTGCCGCCGCCTGGGCCCCGCTCCCAGCCCACTGCCTCTCCCCAGGCCCAGTCCCAGGGGCCCAGGACTCGGGCTCCGTGGCTGGTCTGATGGGAGCTGCAGCTGCGTGTGTTCTCCCGGAAAGGCTTGCCACCCAAGCCCCTCTCCCAGCATGGACCAGATCAGCACTCTTGCACTGCCAGCTGGATGAGGGCGTGTGTTGGGTTCTTTCCCTCAAGGGAACAGGGATGCCGGGGCTGCAGGAAAGAGCATCTCTCCTTTCCGTGCTGAGGGTGCCCGGTGCCCGCGCTGGGCTACACCCAGGCCTCCTGACTCACAGGGAATTGTTTGGGGGTGGGAAGAGCACCCCGGGAACCACCCTGCCCTGGGTTTGAATCTCAGCTGCCTGGCGTCAGAAATGCCTCTTCAGCTCTTAGTGTCCCAGCTGCGTCTTCAGTGCGGAAACTGGGGAGGCCCCGGTGTCTCCCTGCCTGGGTTAAATGATTCTTGTCGAATGCTTAGTAGCTGCTGTGTGGCATGCCCTCAGAGTTCAAGAATCGGAAGCAAATATCTTATGACATTTTGGTCCCTAGGAAGGAAAACACTGGTGTCTGTTTTGGGGGATTTCTGATGGCCTGACTGCTGAGGTCTTAGGAGATTCTTCTTGGTCCTCCGGCTCCATCCCAGCTGGGGGCCTGTCCCTGGAGGGGAAGAGAGGGCAAGGGGAGTGCTCAGTGCAGACCCATTCCCCCTTGGGCCGAGGCCCAGTTAGAGGCTGGCCTGGGGACAGGGGCTTGGGGAGGGGGTGTTGTACTGCCCACTCTGAGGAGCTTTAACATGCAAATGCCTTGGGGGCCCGGGTCTGCTGCCTGGCCTGCCTAGGCCTCAGTACACTAGCCAAGTGGCCTCTGTCCTGACCGTCACCCTCCATCAGCCAGAATTGCTGTTCGGGGGTCCCTGTCTCCTAACCCTGGGCCGCAGTTGGAATAGTTGTCTGGAACAGCCTCCCCTCATAGTGTTGTTCTGCCGATTGAGTTACTGCGTGTAAAGCGCTCTCACATCCCACAGGAAGTCCCCGGTAAGCAGTGGCTGCTGCTGGGTACCCAGCCCTGTGCTAAGTACTTTACATCCTATCTCTGGTCCCCATGGCCTGATGCGACGTCAGGGTCCCCACAACCATGAGGAACTGGCTTGTGGGGTCACCCAGCCCGTAGCAGCTGAGCTGGGACTGGGGCCCCCCTGGCTGTGCCCACCGCCTGCCTCCTTTCCACAGCCTGTGCTCTGCTCCGCTCCACACGCAGCACCTTGGTTTTGGGGAGTGGGCTTCCTGGCACGGACGGGACTTCTGGGCCCAGGGCCCTGCCTGTCCAAGGAGCTGTTTGAGTTTTTGCCATCATCTTGGCCACAGACCCTCTTGATTCGGCTGACATCCGGCCTGCTGGAGTTGCCATGGAAACATCTGTGCCAGGGCTACGGTTGCCCCCTCCCTGTCTGAGAGGCAAGGGGCAGCCGCCTGGCAGAATGGGCCAGGCACGCAGCTGGATGTGCCCCGCCAAGATGCAGAGTGACCGGGAGCAGGGGCCTGAGGGTGCCCAGGAGGCCAGGCCTGAGCTGTACCTGAGCTCCCAGCTGGGCAGAAGTGGGAGTCTGGTGTGCCGAGGCCTCCAGCATGGCAGCCTGGCCTCTGGGTGGAGTTCAGCCACGAAGGGCACTGTGCTGGGAGTCGAAACTGAATTCCTGACTCTGCCAGTAATTTGCTGTGTGACCTTGAGCCAGTCATATGCCCCCACCCTCCAAACTTCAAGTTTGCTGACTCCTAAATGAGGGGGCTGGGCAAGGTGACCTCTTTGGACCCCCTCACCTATGGTCGTTAGAGATTGTGTGAGAATATTCCAATAGGGCTGGGACCAGTCAGGTCTTCAGCACCAAGGGAGAGCAGCACCTGCCTGCCAAAGGGTCCAGGGGTGGTCGTGTTCCCCCCAGGGGAGGTGGGGTCGGGGGGCACCTTCAGTTCTCCCCACTCCGCCTCCTTCCCCTTCTGTCTAGCTGGAGTTTGTAGCCAGGTCCATGAAAGGGCCAGGCCATCTCCTTGCCTTTCTGCCCTGGCTGGAGAGACAGACAGGCAGATTTAGCTCCGGAAACAGGCCCTAGAGAGCTGCCTGGTGTGGGGTCTGGGGCAGGAGATGCACAAGGAGCAAGCAGCTGGTGGCCCTCAGTGACAGCCCATTAAAAATGGGGACCCCGGTCCCCTTGAGTGGCCTGCACAGGCTGCCGCGTGCTCCGGTCCTGCGGAGGGTTTCTGTTGGCTCGGGCATCTCCTCCACCGTGCTTCTCTAGGGGCTTCAGGAAGGCCAGGGACCCTGGCACTGGCCTTCCACATGGCGTGGGGCAATTGCATGTCTTCTGTGGACCTTGTTTTCCCCATCTGTATAATGAGGAGGGTGGGCGTTAGTGGTTTTCAACAAATCTTACCTGGAAATTGCTCAGTTTGAAAAACACACTGCTGGCCAGAGTTTCATTCCGGCCCCTTCCAGCCAGAAGGTTATTGGAGAGCGATAGCTGAATGTGAGGGCATAGGAACTGCCTGGGGAGGAGCCCGCTGAGTTCCTCCCCACCTCCCCCGGGACCTCCCTCGGGGCCTGAAGGGGACCGAGGAATCTGCAGGTTTAACAGCCCCTCCGGGTGGCTCAGACCACGGTCCTGCATCTCGGGGACCTGAGCCCTTTACACCAGCCCTGCTGTCCCTGTCTCCACAGCTTGGGGCCCTGGTCCACAGCCCTGTCAGCTGTCCCCTGCTGGGCTTCTCGGCTGTCAGCACCTCCCTTCCACAGGGCTACCTCTGGGTGAGTAACCCTCGCGCCTAGCCAGGGATTCCGACCTTAGGGCATGAGCTGGGAGGGTGGCATCCGGGACAGGGTGCTGGAGAAAGCCGCCTGCCTTCTGGTCCCCATTTTGGGCACCTTCTGTGCCAGGCTCTGAGCGCTCGGCAGGTGCAACAGGAAGCCAGGGTCCAAAGAAGTGAGCAGGACTTGCGCAAATGGCCTTGGTGCCATGAAGGAAGTGGATAGGTTGCTGTGCAGAGCATCTAAGTGGCGGATTCTTCATGCCAGGGGTCAGGGGGCAGGACTGCCCATCTCTTGCAGAGATCCAGCCCACCTTTCTGCCCCTGGGGCTCCTGGCAGAGCCTCTCTCATTTCAAATGGGCGCCCCTGACCCCTGCTCCTGGTGGTGCAGATTGTGGCCTCCCATAGATTCCCCGAGGCTCCAGCCTCACCGCCCCGCTGGTTGTCCTCTAGTTCCTCTTGCTTGTTCCTCCCTCCAGGAACTCAGGCAGGAAAACTCTAACTTACCCTTTGGAGTCCAGCTCAAATGTCCCTTCTGAGGGTGATTTGTTCTTCACTGTTTACCCAGTGTCTAGTACATGACGTATCCATCCGTTTATCTGTTATCCTTCCTTCCATCCATCCTTATAATCATCTGTCCGTCCATCCATTAAGTCATCCACCCGTTCACCCAGTCTTCTGTCTCTTCCTTCCATCCACCCATCCATCTCGCCATCCATCCACATCCATCCGTTCAGCAAGTACATTTGAGTGCCTGCCACGTGCTAGACACAGAGGTGAAACAGTGAACAAGACAGAGGAGGACATTGCCAAGGGCAGAGTATGTTCACTGTTGGTTGGTTGAAATTCACCCTAGAGATAAGGGAACACAAAGCCGACTGGGTATCTAGTCCGTCTTAGCTCTTTGCCTGATTTCCTTTGGGCCCTGAACCTAAATTGTTGCCACGGCAGCTGGAAATGAGTGGCCTTCAGTGACAGCAGGGTGTGTGCGGGCAGGAGGTGGGATGTTCCTCTTGATGCCTAACCCCGTGGCCAGGAGAAGTTTGGGACGCATCACTGGCAGGGCAGGGGCTGAGCTCGGCCTCTGCTCTCGTGGTCCTCGCCTGACGCCTGATGGCCTCTCTGGGTCTCTACCCCAGGTCGGGGGCGGGCAGGAGGGCGCAGGGGGCCAGGTCGAGATCTTCTCCCTGAACCGGCCCTCGCCCCGCACGGTCAAGTCCTTCCCACTGGCGGCCCCTGTGCTCTGCATGGAGTACATCCCAGAGCCGGAGGAGGGGGAGAGTGGAGACCAAGAAGAAAGCCGCACGGCTGCGGACGCCTCAGCTGGAGTGCATCCCGCCATCTGCCTCGGGCTCCAGGATGGCAGGTGAGGGGGCAGGAGGAGGGGTGAAGCACAGCCCTGGGCAGGGCTGGGCGAGGTGGGGGCTGTCCCCATAGCTTTGGCTTGTCACCACCCCCAACATTCTCCACCTCTGGTTGGGAGCAGGAAGTGGGGCCAGGGGTGCCTAGTGTAGGAGCCACAGCATCAGGGGGCTGCTTTGTGCAAACTGGCTCCCTCCCAAGTAGGGTGATGGGTAGGGTGGTACCAGGGGGAACGCTGGCTTCGGTGTCAGCCGAAGCTGGATTTGGATCCACTGTTTCCTCACTGTGGATCATTGGGCACGCTATTTGACCACTCGGAGCCTCAGTTTATTGTCTGTGAAGTGGGTGTTAGAATCTCCCCACTCAAGGCCCCTGTAGGAGTCTACTGGGTCATGGGA